AGAATAAAAGCTGAACTACGAAAATTAAATTACAAACTGAAAATAAACTAGTTCTAATGCTACAAAGCTTTAAGAGGATGCTCCAAGGTGCTGGTGGAAAAGTTGGATTGAGTTGGATTGGAGATGCCTTTAATGCTTGAGAGAAGTCTTCAAATATATAGGGGGAAAGGTGGGACCCAAATACTCTTTGTCCAATGGGTAATGACCACCCATCACCACATGTCTTCTTCAATCTTGACCAAGTCACCTCCTCATTGATAGGTTGCAAAAGGTGAAAAGTACTATCATTAAACATGATAGGAAAGCCACTCCATCATGGTACAAATAGAACTCTTCCAAGTCTCATCATCCCATAACTAGGTCCAATCTTCCATGTAACCAAGTATTTAGATTTGAACTTAGCATTAAATCTCAATAATATCCAAAAATATGAATATCATAATTTTGTTCAAATCCAACAAGATGCCAAATTTACCAACAATAAAGAGTTTTTTAGACAATAATTAAATTCTTAACCTTTCATCACCTCTTAACATAATTTGGATAAAAAATATAGGATATGAGCAAAATGGGTACCAAAGATACAATAAAATAGGGGTAAAGAACAACAAATAACTCTCACAAAATGAGAGTTATCAGTGGCCATGGAAGTGAGCTGTGATGTTAATGCAGTGTATGCATCTACATCGTGAATTCCAGCAGTCTTCTTTTGCGGTTGAGCACGTGGATCAGCTTAGTGTCCATTTTTTGTTGAATTTTTTTCCAGGATTTCATATCCTTCATTATAGGTACTTGCTGTAAAGGCTCTTCCTGCAGTCGCATCGAGCATCTGTTTGGAATTGGGACTTAACCCATTGTAGAATGTCTCGAGTTGAATATAGGACGGAATGCCATGGTGTGGTCATTTCCTTAACAGCTCTTTGAATCTTTCCCAAGCATCAGGAACAACTTCATCATCCAGTTGTTTGAAAAGACAGATCTCATTCCTGGACTTGGCGTTCCTAGTTGGTGGAAAATATTTTTGCAAAAAAAGTTCTGCCATATTACTCCACGACGGCACAAAACGCGGTGATAAAGAGTTAAACCATGCTTTTGCCCTATCCCTTAAGAAAAATGAAAATAAAGTGAGTCTGAGAGCGTCATTGGACACTCCCGGAATCAGGAAAGCATAAGTGATTTCCATAAAAGACTTTAAGTTCGAATGTGGGTCCTCTGAGGGTAGTCCGACAAATTGGCCATTCGTTTGCAGCATGTGAAACATGATTGGTTTTAGTTCGAAATTGAGGGTTGTCATGTGTGGTCTAACTATCCCGAAATTTAATTGCTCAAAATCTAGGATAGCATAATCCATGATTCTTCAATTTTTGGAATTTGCCAAATTAATGACGTTCGGAGTTTGTGCTCTTTGTTGATCATTATTCTTCGATTATGTGTCCTCATTACCCAAATTATTACCATGGTGTGGGTGTCCTTGTGGAAAGTTCAGAAATAGTGGTATTGGTGCAAAAACTGGCAGTTGGTTTTCCAAATGTGGTATTTCTAGAATGATTGGAGGAGGTAACTCCATGTTAGGAGGGAGTAGAGCAAAAAATGCTCTTTGAGCCCTCCTTCTATGGTGAAACGTTCTCTCAATATCTGGATCAAGTTCGAATAATTCCCCGCGATGTCTCATTGGCATACACCACTTTCAAGATGATTAAAATGGTAATAGAAAAATCAAATCTTATACTTTACTAAAAAAAACTTTTAGCTTGCCAATCCTCGGCAGCGGCGCCAAAAACTTTCAACCCATATCTCTATGTGGTATCCGGACCAGGGATAGTGACAAATGGTGTCTTCAAGTTGGCGTGTGTTCAAGATAGTTCATCTCTGGATCTATCGCACTTTGATACTTTTAAAGAGTGACCAACCTGTCGGGAGTTAAGTTTGAAAGACATAAATGACACGTCTCCTTGTCGGTAACTTTCTCAAGTCTACCTCTCATATCATTCAAGCTGACGTGCATTCAATGGTTTATCTCTAAGACCATAGCACTTTAACACTTTCAAAGTGATCAACTCGTCAAGAAGTGTACTTGGTTTTTATAAAACTTGAATGAAATAGTAGAACATTGTTATTGCGAAACAACGTCCACTTTCAAACGGTTTAACATTTCACCCTTTATCTTACACCCAAGCTAACGAAATTAGCTACTCATTACGGAAAATAAATGACATGAAATATAAAGAACATAAAGTAAAGACATAAATATAAATGACGGAAAGTAAATGACTGAATATAAAATACAGAAATTAAATGACAAGAAAAATAAATAAAGTAAGAACGATGCTGCAGCAACTCATAACGAAGAAAAATATTTAAAGAAAATTCAAGAACTAACTTGCATATGCATAAAAGCTACAGATCTGAATGTTTAGAATACGTGGGATGATTTTTGAGACCAACCAAAGGGTCCTATGTATACAAAAATCCTAAGAGTAAAGACAAAAGTCTTGGTAAACAACATGCTCATAAAGAGGAGACAATATGGAAAAAGGGAACATCACATCAAGCTAAAGTAGCCACCAAAAATCCCTTTCTCCAGCTGTGAAGGTTAATAACCAAAAGATTTCCAGATTTTGTCTTCATTCTACTACAGCGGCTGAATCAATAAGCACTTCTTCAAAAAGCCGGTTCAGAACAGATTAATGCTACTGGAATGCTGCAGCATAAACCTCAGTACTTCCAAGTTAAAATAACATCTACCCCACATGTTGTAAAGACAAGTTAATCACTAAATTTAGCTCCAAATATAACAAATGGAAAATAAAGAAATAAAAATGACTCAAGGTTGGGATAAAAGAGAATAATCTACCTACTAAGCAAAGAAATGATACTTTAAGCATGTAATAATCCATGCTTATCAGATACAAAGGACAATTGACTCTTGAGATGTAACTTGTTAAGTAGTCATTAGGACACTTGAACTATAAGTCTTGAAGTGTTATGCGACAACGTTGTTTGAGTTACATAATTCTATGTTGTTGTCACTCTTAATGGATGCGGTTCCCCATTGATTCCACCTAAAAATGTAGTATTTGGTTTTACAAACGGTTTTAACTAATTATATTGCAATTGTCTAATTTATAATATCTCATGAGGCTTTTTGGCCTGACACATGTTTTGGTGTCGACATGTATTTCATGTTCTAGTGGTGTGGTCGTCAAGAAGATTTGACCGGTCATTTTATAGAGAGCTTGGAGAGCATTTTAAGACACCAACCTTTGAAGTTATTTTTGGTGGTTTAGGTGACACCTAATTGTTATCTTATTTCTTAAGGAATTAGATTAGGAGGTTATTATCTACATACCCAATTGTTGTAAATTGTAATTAACATGCGTATTTAAGTTTCCCATTTTTGGGGGAAACTCTTATATTGATATTTATATACCACATTTCTGGTTTTTTGGAAAATTTTATTTCCCAATTTATGGGGAGTTATAGGTCAAAAAAGTTCACATTGTGAATCGTGTACATGTAAAACAAAAACATTATGAAACAAATACATGTAAACTCT